GTGACATTTTGTTTTAGCTAGTGTTGGCATAACATTAAATGGAATTGTTACATAGTACTATGATTGAGATAATGTATTATTGTAGGAAATTCTTTGTAAGAGACTTATTCTCAGCCATATCTCTTTTTATTTTTATTATTACAGTTATTACCAATTATAACTTAGTATAAAAATATTTTGTGTGTTGTGTTGGTAGTCTTACAAAGTATATACGAAAATAGTATGAATATACTAAATGGCAACACTTGAACAGAGTAAAATGATTTAAGTCATTTGATATTCCCAAAAATGTTTGTTTTTTTCTGTGGCTTTAATTAAAATACATTTTTATTTGAAAAATCGTAGAAAAATAATAAAACCCATTTTATATATAACTTATTTCTAGACGCGATAATTTTTGTCAACTATTTTTCTGCCATTGCTCTTTCTATTCCTCGTTCCAAAGCCCCGTTGTTAAAAATATTTGTCATAATTATTACAGTTGGCAATAAGATTGCTGATAGTAGCGACAAACGTTTTGTACCTTTCACATTGCTTCTTAATTATCTTTTAGGTTATTTTCTCTCCTTTCAACGACGACGTTGCGTGTGAGTATCTTAAACTAACCTATTACACGTTATTTATGCAAAAGTAAGAGTTACAACATTTATACTTTCCACTGCTGGGTACAGGCCTCCACCCGTTTCTGCGAGGGTTTTAAGGCAAGGAAATATCTGACGGGCTGCCCCATTTAATGCTGATAGACTTCATATGTTTTGGAAATATTTTTTTTCTCTGCATGAAAGTTTCCCTCACGATGTTTTTGTCACGACCGAGCACGTGGTAATCGTGAAGATCATGAAGATCGCAGCCGGTTTGTTCGCGTATTGTTAAATTTACAGACAGCGCTTGGCTTAGAGGCGCTCGCTCTAAGTGTGTTTAATTTAAAATACTCACATAGTCTCAGATGCCATTGCCATGCCATCTCTCATTTCATTCATTCATGGTGGATTTAAAAACGTATTTTCATATCATGTACTACGATTACAAATTGTCTAATCAACTGGTAGGATAAGTGAGTCTATATCTAAGTGAGTTTTAATTATTTGGAGTGCATGTGACAATTCTCGGCGTTTTTATCACTTAAACTTTAAGAAAAGGGGTATATCTCCTTCTTTTGAAAAGACCAATAATTCCTAAGGTGTTGCAGATATCAAGAGATGACAATCATTACTTAATGTCAGGTAAGTCGCAAGCCTCTTTGCCCCCTAGTCTATAAAAACGTATAGTTTTTGGTGAATAGGAATTATGAAAAAGCCTTAAGAATTTTTTAGTTTTTTTAAATAATTTTGTACTCTGCTAACCTCGATACAATTCTAATATCTAACACAAAAGATATGAGAATAAATATTCAAAATATAGTTCTGAAAGCAACACAATACAATAAACAATGTAGTTCATTTCTTAGGTGATTATATACCATAGGTTTAAAGAATTGAAATAAAGAAAAATTATCAAGTTAAAAATAATCGAATGAAGGCTGAAAACATAGAGAAAAGAGATTAGGTAATAATTATTCATCATAAGTATTATTTTGAATACACTATACATGAAAATATAATAGTAATAACTTAATATAGTTTAATAATTAACAACCTCTAGGTTCTATTATTAATAATTAATTATTCACTGTGTATAAAAATTAATAGAATTAGGGTTCTATATATACATATTACTCTCTATAAGAAATTGCCTAGATAACCTACTTCCATTTACTTTAAAGCAATGAAAAGAAACTACACCACAGAAAATATACTTTATAATATCAATAAGACATCAAATCCAAACATGAAATTATTTTCTCCAAGCGTAGTTTCCCCACACGGTATCTGCTGTATTTATAAGTATTAATTTCTTATTATATTTCTTACATATTTATAGTGTCAACTACGTTATAATTTTATCTTATATTACATAATAATATTTTTTATTATAATAGGTCGGAGAAAAAGTTTCTTCGTATTTCGTTTGTATAAAAAATTTAATGAAAATCTCTTTGGTTGTACTGTGTGTATCTGGCTGATTTTAATATCAATACAATTATGATATCAAGAAAAAGAAAAATAAAAACTAACAACACTTTCCCGCTATTTGTCAATAGTTTTTCTGTCCGCCAAAATGAGTGAATCTAACGAAGAAATTCGATACATTTTTAAGTTATATTACAAAAAAGTGAAAAATGTGACTCAAGGCGCGAAATATTGTTACGTTTATGGATCTAATGCAGTGTCATTAAGAGTAGCACAAATTTGGTTCAAGCCTTTTCAGTCCAGAAATTTTGATGTCAAAGATGCAACTCGCCCTAGTCGCCCTCATACGGAGAAAGTCAATGCCATTTTGAAAAAGTGGAGCAAAATCGGCATATTAGTAGTTACCACATAGCTGAGGAATTGAGAATTGACCAAAAAACAGTTTTGACCCGTTTGAAAAAGTCTGGCTATACAAAAAAGCTCGATATTTGGGTACCATACGGACTCACTAAAAGAAACCTAATGAATCGTGTACTTATTTGCGATTCTCTATTGAAGCGTAATGAAACCGATACATTTTTGAAAATATTGATCACTGGTAATGAGAAGTGGATTACTTACAACAAAAAATGTGCGTAAAAGATCATGGTCAAAGAGTAATCAAGCTCCGCAGACTGTAGCGAAACCCAGATTAATACGCAATAAGGTGATACTGTATGCATGGTGGGATTGGAAATGCATAGTTTATTATGAGCTTTTACCGCCGGGCAAAACCATCGACTGTGATCTCTACTGCCAATAATTAATGAGACTCAAGCAAGAAATTGAGAAAAAACGGCCGGAATTTATAAACAAAAAAGAAGCGGTCTTCAAAAATGGTAACGCCAGACCACACACATCTTTGGCCACTCAGTAAAAATTGAGAGAGCTTGCTTGGGAAGTGTTAATGCATCCCACCATATAGTCCTGTGTCAGATTTTTGCCTCTTTTATTCTCTTCAGAATTATTTGGGTAGTCTTAGGTTAATATCAAGAGAGGATTGTCAAAACTACTTGTCGCATTTTTTTGATCAAAAATCCCCAGATTTCTACAGCAACGCGACTATGTCACTACCTACAAGATGACAACAAGTTATCGAAAAAAAGGGCACATATATATTATAATTTTATGTAATTAACTTTTGAAAAAATGTGTTGAATTTGTATATAAAATAGGAAGAAACCTTTTCCCGACTCTATATTTACTACACAAACATTAGATATGCATTATTAAATGTGTCATTTATACGACAAAAATAAATTATTAACTACTTTTTCAGTTGAGCTAATCACGTAAAAGATAAGTTTTTTCGTTACCAATTTTAATGATCACACTGTAGGTGTTGTATTATGTTTTTCTCCAAATGCTAACTTGTTTGCACGTAAGGTAAAAGTTTTATAGTTAAGAAAACGAGTCGACTGAAAATGCGTAGGTTCTATTACGCCAAATTATTTCATTTATTTTAAGTGTTTAAAGCGAAATCAATTAATGGTAAAAGCAATAATAAATGATAATTAATTAGGTTAATATTAATTAAAATAATCTATACAGGTGCTCCCTAATTAAAGAACGAGGCTTTAGTGACCGACATATATTATAATTTGTTCTTTTTTATGCTTATTTTTATTCACCTGCTTCTTTCATTTCTTTTTTCAGCATGCCGTGCTCTTTTGAAATAATTGTAAATTAGCCTTAAATATATGTGTAAGCAAAAATTATCTAATATTCATTCAATAGCTGAGTTTTTTTGTCAGTAAAATTATATTAATCACACCATTAGTCGTTCGCGAGTCTCATTGATCAGCAGTGTACACCGAGAGCAAGTGGGATTAGCTTTTGGAGAAAAAGGTATCATATTCTCCTTTATACATCAAGATTATCATTAAGCTACGAATTTTAAATCTTTAATTAAATAACATAAAATTTAACTTAACTTTCAATGGGTAAACAATCTATTACTACTATCACATATATTTTAATACTATAATGTAATACTAAAATACTTTGATACTATATTTTAAAATTTTCAGCACAATTCTACACCACTTATAGATGTCCGTTGAAAGTAACATTGGAGCAACAGTCTTAAAATGTCCCACTATCGAACACAGGCTTTCTTCTAGAGGGAGTGTTATTGCAAGGAAAGTCGCTACACTACTCAGTGTTGGTGGATATCACATGATCTTGAAATATTTAAGTTTCACAGACATGCGGGTATTAACACGATGTTTTACTTTGAGCCAGTGTAAATCGGTATTTAAAATTGCAATGAATCATTTGTTTAGAAGGCGATTAAATATTCATTTTTCTAGATCGTAGGACTTTTCTTCTGTCTAGAAGCCCATCTGAGTAGGTAATGCCCTCTTATCTGTTTCTATCATCAAGTAGCAGTACTTGCACAGCTGTGTCTGAATCTGTATGGTATAGAGAGCCAGTATAATTGCAGGCCCTCTATAGCATTCAGGCAGTCTTTGTTTGGAGTTTATTGAACGTTTCCATGGACTGCAGCTTGTCTTACAATGTCAAATCTATTAAATAAATAAATATTTATTGTTATATACATTTTAGTTGTATTAATAATAAATCCGTAAAGTTTTTATGGATTTTACCTAATACTATCTGTTAATTCCAGTAGCTACTTGTAAGATGCACAATATTATGGTTAGTAGTATTTTATAAAGTAATAATGCTACTTATTCTTATCTTACTTTCATTTTCATTCAAGACTAATTGAAATAAACGTTTACTTATAATGAAATGAACCATGTTGATATTATCTATATAATATTATTATTTACGTTTTCACTAATCCTTGTTTGTGTTTTGTTCAATTATTATTAAATTACATTTATAATTATAACATTCAAGGGCCATAACTCCTCTTCAATAATACTTAAGTTCTAATTAGATCACAGAATCTAGGTCATCACTATCGACCTTAGGTATTGACAATCATAGAAAACTCTCAGAAGCTCGTATCTCGTCTCTATCTACAGTTGAAACTATTTCTACGCCTTCATCGTAGTTCTGTAATTTAGACGTATTATTTACACAGTAGTGTTGATCAGGATCTCCGTACTGACTATGATAAAATTCTTCTCGCATCATATGGTTCAAATTTGAACACCTGAAGAACAAAATTTCTTGAAAAGGTTTTCTAAAATCTCTATTTAATGTTGCATAAATTATTGGATTAAGTAAACTATTCACATAGCCTAACCAAAGAAATAAAGCACTAACAGCATCCGGTATTGTATCTTCGTTAACAAATGGTCTTATTAAAGCTAATACGAAGAATGGCAACCAGCAAATTATAAATGCCGACATTATTATTCCAAGTGTTGTTGAAGCTTTACGTTCCTTTGCCAATTGAAACCTTAACTTTTTCTGGTGCGGTGAATGTGACTGGTGAAGCAAGTCCTTAGCTAAATGGCTTTTGTTTGCAATGTTTGATAAAGATGAACGAATCCTGGTTGACGTTAACTTGTGGTTACTTCCTGTTTCCAGTCGCCTATTATCTTTACTTTGGTGCATATTATCTCGCATTTGTTCTACTTTTGATGAAGGTTGGTTAATGGTATGAATAGGTTTTGTTGGAGTTCTTGTATGTTGAAGCATGGGGCACTGTGATTCATTTGATTTCCGTTGTTCATTAAAACATACGCCAGTCGTGCTTTCTGTTTTATCTACACTGAACTGAAAAGAGGGTTAAAATATTTTCAAGTTTTGTATAAAACAATACCGAGTAAATTTGTTTAGCAATTATGTCACGAATTACTAAAGATATCATTTTAGATTATATTTTACCAAATATTTTATTAAGTGTGAATGAAGCTGCAAATAAAAATACAAACTCGGTTCATTTTACATCCAGTAATCAACGAATACTAATAATAAAAGTGATCTCTTGACTAAATTAGCTAAATGATATTAGGTAAGTCTGGCTTCCATATATGAATTTTAATTTATTTTGAAATAAATAACAATATTTAGTATTAATAACTAATAATAATATAATAACTAACAACTGATTTAAAAGGCCCAAAATTTAAATGAAATTAATAATATCTTGCATGTTACCTTTAATACTTACCATGGTATTAGTACTAGCTGTAGAACCTCTCGTAGTAGGAGCTGGGGCTTGACTGCCTAAAAGCTTTGCCTCTGTTGCTCCACCATTTTTGACATTAATTTCCAAGTAACAATGTGTTTCCAAATGAGACTGCGCACGTTTTTCATCTTTAACAATCTTTCGAGCTGCACTAAATATCTTGTAATATACTACTACCATTACAGTTAAGGGTATGTAAAATGAGCCAAAGGTTGCATAGATTTGATATCCTTGATTTTGCGATACTGAACAGCTTGTTTCTGTCTTCTCGTTACCTAATATTAAGACAGGGGGCAGCGATATAAATGCTGCACTCATCCAAACAATGAAAACACAAAATAACATTCTTTTTGGAGTTCTTTTAACCCCATATTCTAGTGGTTTTGTTATAGCATAGTACCGATCAACCGAGATCATACATAGATTGAGAATACTGGCAGCACAAGATAAGACGTCGCTGGATACCCAAAAATCACAAACTACTGGCCCAAACGGCCACGTTCCTAGTAAATCGTATATCATAGCTACAGGCATAACCATCGTAGCTACACAAAGGTCACTTACTGCAAGTGACACTATCAAGTAGTTGCTGGGCCTTCTTAATTTTCGCACTAAGCACACGGCAACGCAAACTAAAATATTTCCCACTATTGTCCCAAATATTACAACCATAAAAATTGCTGCTAGTAGAATGGTCACTAACGTTGAATAGTTTGAATGTTTTATATGAGAGTGTTTAACAATTATTGATGCATTTTCAAATAATGTCCAGTTTATTGTTGAGTTTGGGTTAGTGATATTTAATTCAGAAAAATAGACGTCGTTTAAATTGAAAGATGCTAACGCTAAATCTACTTGCAATACCAAATGTATGAATATGAGAAGACACGAAGTTAAAGTAACAAAGCTAGGCTGTGAACAATGGAATTTATGACTTTGTGCCGCCATACGAGTCCCTGGATGGGGTACTGATCACTCGGTTCGTGGTCTTGTTTTTACCATACATTGATTTCAATGTTTAACGTTTTACAACTCAATATTTCTTAATCGTTTTATTTAAGATAAATTATGATTGGAGTTAATAAACTCAAGTTTGAAAAATTCTTTTGTCAGGTAGCATTCTTGACTTACAAAGCCGCCATTGACAATAATTAAGTAGTAGTTTCCAGATATAAATTTCTTCTTTCTGTATTTGGAATGAAGCCATTGGAGTATAATTTTAGAAATCTAGATGATTTACATAAATTATATCCAAAAATAAAACTTCGTTTTAAAGAAGTAACTTCTTAGCTATTTCCATGAAGACTGCTACATGTTCTGGTTCATAAATAATCTGAAAAGAAAAAAATATGAATTATTTTTATGTAGGACGTAGTAATTTCATTCTAATATAAAATATTATTAAGAAAATAATTTATTCTCATTATCATTCAATATTAGTAAATATTTATTTATTCTCATTATTATTTCAGCCTATAAGTCTATGGCTGAATATTAGCCTTCCACGTAGATTGACCCTTAAGGTGGATTTTGCCATAGTAACCACGCTAGGCAGGCGGGCCAACGCAGCTTAGAATACAGCCCATCTCTTGTTTCAGTTTGAATGTAGAATCAATATCATTTACTATTTTAAAGGATAGTTCTTTTTATGAAAAAGGTCGAATGGCAGATTATATACGACAATTTAGGTGCGTTAATTAATTAATTAAAGGGGTAAAATGTTTATTATACTTATGATTATTTACTGATATATGGTACTTAATCAGTATTCTCATTTACTTACTTACTTACTTATCTTCACGCACAATCCCTGACGGGGTAGCCAGAGAGAACAGATCGCCAAGTGTCACGATCCTTACATACCTCTTTCGCTTCTTTCAGATTCATTATCTTCTTCATACATGCACGTCTAGGTATCCGAGTACTCTTGACCCTACCCTCTTCGAGCAATTTGCTCACATGGTCTTCGAAAGTTAGTCTCGGTCTACCTCGACACCTTTTAATATTAACTTTCGCGCTATATATTTTCTTCACCATTCGGTCTTCACTCATTCGCTCAACGTGCCCAAACCACCGAAGCACGCCCTTATCAATTTTTGTGATAAGGTCATCTTTCAAACCTGCCATATTGCGAATCTCTTCGTTTCGCTTTCGGTCGGCCATGGTAACGCCGCACATTTTACGAAGAGATCGCATCTCCACTGCATTCAACTTGCTTTTATGCTTCTTCTGGCATACCCAGGTTTCGCTGCCATATAACAAAGTCGGTACCAACACTGCTTTATGTATTGCAAGGCGTGCACTCTTCACTACGCCTTGCCTTTTGACTAACGCAGTCAGGGCACCATTGACTTTGTTCCCGGAAGCGACACGCTTGTCCACATCTAAATCACATCTTCCATCCCGGCTAAAAGCACTCCCCAAGTATACAATTTCATTTACTTGTTCTAGACATTCCTGATTTACCCATATTTCACACTTCGTTCTCTCATCGTCCCTTTCAAATACAAGAACCTTAGTTTTATTAGCGTTCAAACGGAGACCTTTAATTTCACATTCCTCTTTCATACACGTGACTAATGCCTGCAGTTCTGCCTCTGATGGCGCAATAAGCACTGCATCATCAGCATACAGCAGACAATTTACTTTAATGTCACCCAATTTCACACCCAAACAGCTATCTTTCAGCTTTTGTAAACAGCTGTCGAGATACAGTATGAACAGCCAGGAAGACATGACACAACCCTGTTTTACGCCCGTTTGGACGCTAAACATGGGTGATAGGTCATGCCCTACCCGCACACAGGCTTTACAGTCACAGTAAAGAGACTGCACAGCCCTTGGCAATCGGCCATTCACACCATACCCCGGCAACAGTTCCCACATTTTCTTCCTTACAACCTTATCAAATGCTTTCTCAAGATCCACAAAAGCACAGAAAATCTTCTGGTTAGCAGCCAGAAGCTTTTCCGTGATCATACGGAGAGAAAACATTTGATCCGTGCATCCTCTTCCAGGCCTAAATCCGCATTGTGCCTCCCATAGAAATCTTTCCGATTTCTCTTGCATCCTACGTGTCAAAACCTTCGAGTAAACTTTACTTGCTAAACTGGTCAAGCTGATCGCCCGATAGCACCCGCAGTCAAAATGTGAACCTTTACCTTATATAAAGGCACAATGACTGCGGATCGCCAATCATCCGGGACATCCCCCGTCCGCCAGCACAAATTGCACAGCAGATGAAAGCTGTTCCAGACGCGAGGCCCACCATACTTGACCATTTCAGCAGTAACTCTGTCTAGTCCCGCAGCCTTACCACATTTCAAACTTCGAATCGCACGTTCAATCTCTTTCATACTGATGACCTCAGTGTCATCGAGGTCCGGGTCTGGCGTACCAGTCACGGCGTCATCCCCAGATCCCTCACTAAGATCATCACACGCATACATTTCTCTATAAAATTCGCTCCATCGCTGCATGACGTCCGATTTTTCTGAGAGGACGTCATTAGTTCTCGAAAGCACTTTGTTCATTCTTAAGGCCGTCGCACCACTTGGGGTCCTTCCAACCTCTTTCCAGAAGAGTTTGGAGTTCTCCTTAAAGTTGTGCGACAACCTTTCATCCGCTTCCATTCCACCTTTCACGCACTTCCTCAATCAATGCTTTCGTATGAACTTTCTGCAGATTATATCTTTCTTTCATCTTCTCTCTCATATCCTTATCATTACTAGAGGCCAAGTAGTCTAACCATGCTTTCTTCTTCTTCTTTACAGCTTCTTTCACTTCATCATTCCACCATGCATCTCTTCTTTTACTACTGCCTCTTTTTATTGTTCCACACACTTCTTCCGCTGCACTTACCATTCCATCCCTAAGGTTCTGCCATGTTCTTTCTACACATTCGTTTCTGCCATCGATGGTGTCAAGCTTTTCGGCTACCCTCGCATGATATTTGTCCCTAGTATCCGCTTCCTGAAGCTTCCAGCTTCGGATGCGACAGACCGACTGTGGTTCTGTCACTGTCGTCCGGTAGCGCCAACCCGCGAACAGACCCCTAAATCTAGTAATCACTAGATAGTGATCCGTTCCCAGGTCAGCACCCCTGAACACTCGCGTATCCATAACCTGTTTTCGCAGTCGGTCATCCACCAGGAACAAATCGATCATACTTCTCTCATTCTTTCTTTCTCTAGTATACATATGGATTTTCTTGTGATTAAACATAGTGTTTGTCACAAGAAGACCCTTTTCTTTGCATACCGCCAGTATAAACTTCAAATCGAATAGAAAATCGGTTCTTTTATTTTAAGGCTTTAACTAGCCTGAATGACCTCGACGAAACGGCGATCGTAGATTTTAGCCGATGTCAACACCGTCTAGCAACTACGTTCTGTATTACTTATAAAAGTGCAAAGATTAATAGACTGCAGAGATGACAATTATATAAGTGACATACTGCCTATTATGCTTGCGCATCACTGCGAATTATGTCGCGGTTACGCACCTTCAATTAAATTGTGCTGCAGCTATGTCCGGTAGGCGTCACGAGCTATCAAGTGTTCAAGTTTCAAGTACGTAAGAGCTTTTTATTATATATGTTAAATCGTATTTATTTGTAAATTTTCCCAGGTGCGTTCGCTGTCAATTTTCCCGGGTTTGATCCCCGACAGCACGAGTGAAATTTGTAATTGCGATTTTCGTCAACACGCATTGGAGAAGCACGGCGGGCATTTCCTTGCCCTAAAACCCTCTCAGAAATAAAAAAGAGTCCTGTGCCCAGTAGAGGGACTTGTATAGCCTATTACTTTACTTTGTAGCAATATTTATATTCGTTTCAGATATAGAAGGGTACCTTATGCTGACAAAAATATCATGTGGAGGCGACGAAAACGTTAGACATGTTTGTACCTAGATAAAACGTTCGAAAGATTGTCAGTCATGTCATACGCCACATTTTCTATGGAGCGTAGAACATTACAGATAGGGCAAAATAAAAAATAATCCAAAATATTATGGGAAATATTTATTAATAATATATACATTTATAGGTATTTATAATAAAAATAATGAACAAGCAGCAAGGTTCAACTAATAATGTTTTTTGTAAACACAATCGTAAAATTCCTGTTTTAATTTTTACCTATGGTTAATTGATGAAACGTAGTCAAGATCACTTCATATAAAATATATTTAATTAAAATTGACACGTGACCTATTTGGCCTTCTACTTACAACTCGGCGGAAATTTGAAAAGAAGATTTTGTCTTTTCACACAAGTATTACTTACAACTGGCGTGGTTTCGAAAAGCGTGATTAAGTGTCAGCGGTATATAATCAATTAAATACTGAACTTTTTTGAAATTTATTTTTTTGTTTATTTTTGTTATATCTTCTTAAAAACTGACGCCATCTCACTATTTTATTATTTGTTTTTTTTTAAGTTATAAGTTAGACTAAGTTAGATTAACTTGGATAAGTTTATAATTTTTTTAATTTTATCACAAAATTTCCGCAATAAATTATTACCTTTCCTACAGTGATTCTCTCCTCTTAGTTTCGGCGTGACTGTAGGATGTTATAGTGAGTCACTGTCAGTTACTGAGCGGCTATAAATCATTGTATGTATGTATAGTCATACATATATACATTTTTTGATTTTAGTATTTATGTTTATTTGAATTTAGATTGATTTTTTGAAACCTGGTAAAATTATTTTTTTCTTTACCAATTGATGGGCCTGAGTATAATGCCAGTTATGCTCTTTGGCTTAAGTTATTTTTTTTTATAGGAGAGGGGGCAAACGAGCATGCGGCTCACCTGATGGTAAGTGACTACCGCCGCCCATGAACAACCGCAACACCAGGGGAATTGCAGATGCGTTGCCGGCCTTTTAAAAAGGAGTAGGCTCTTTTCTTGAAGGTCCCTAAGTCGTATCGGTCCGGAAAAAT